AGCTCCATAAAATGCTGTCTCCTTAACATCTGCTTTGCTGACACATCTACAAAAATCTTGGCATGGTTAAAGGGTGCCAGGAGTATTATGAATTTGGCTCAGCCCTTTCAGCAGCCTCAGCTTAAGTTATGTTTAAAGAATTATCTTATTCCAGACATTGTTTGGAAGAATAGGATATATGGCTCTGCTTGTTAATGATGACTTGACCCTTTTATAAAAGTGGATTGCTGAAAGAGTGACTCTTGGCTTTTAAAATCAGATTCAACATTCAAAATTATGGGCTATAAAATTCAGTAGTAATAATCTTTAGTAGTTCCAGTAAGAGTGCTTGAGATAAAATCCATGATTGTTCTTTCCATTGCACACAAAATTGCTTATGTCCACTACAGAAGTTAGTCTACATTTAGTTTCTGTAGTTAATAATGGAATCTATCAGCAACAAATATACCTCCTAAAAATATTCTGTTACAATGATATCATGTGTTCATTACTGGACAAACATTCTGGGCAGTAACTCCCTGAATACCAAATCTATAGAAATCAACAAAAAAAAAACAAAGAATCACGCAGAAAACTCAATGATGAATCTAAGCAAATCTGCTGAAATCAACAGAACTGCTCTGTTGCAAATTCTTTGGGGATCTCCAAATTTAAAACCTCTCTGTTATCCCAACTGGGTTTCCAATGTTCATTATTGTTTTCTGTATAGAAATAGCAATTTTCTTGCTTGCCTTTTTTTTTTCTTTATTCTCCCCATGAAGAAGGACCAAAGGAAAGTTCTAGAAATGTACACATACTGTCAAGTTATTAGGGTCTGCTTCTTATTTGAACCCCATGTCTAAAGAGATAATCTAAAGATTACTGACTTCCAGGGTTTATCCACCGACTTCAATGAGATTGCGTTGTTCATTTAATTTTTTTTAACCCACTGTTATGCATTTTATATCATGCATGATGTAAAGTTTGCAGATGGCAACAGCACATAAAAGATAGTAGTATTTAAGGAATGCTGTGAGCATAAAATGTGCAAATAATGTATGCAGGGAGCACATTTGCTGATCCACGCTAACTATCTCTTTTAGGAACTTTATACCCCGGTAAGCCTGTGCCTGGCAGGTTTAGATCTGTACGTTAACGATCATTATGCCTAGTAATTATTTCATTTCTTGGTTGTTAAGAGCAATACTGTCTCCGTTGCTGGTCTCAGCACTCAAGAATCGTAACACAACATGTGTTGTTTTCAATGTCATTTCTGTCAAGCTACAAGTAATGTGCTGTACACGTTTGCAAGCATGAAAGCCACAATGGCAGTGTGTGCATTGTTGTCCTCACACAGTCACCCCCACCTTTCCCTGAAGGTGTCTGGGGAATGCACAAGCAGCATACAGCTAACATAGCTATATATAACTTCCTTCTCCAGAAATCACTCTCTCTGAAGTCTCTAATGTGATCTTCACCATTTTTATCTCGCAGCTCTCCTCTGCTCTCTACTTGAGAGATACATTCAGCCACATTCCTTTTAAGATAACAGTCAAATAGTGAGATAACAGTGAAATAGGCAGGGTTATTTTTATGTGCTAGCTGCCTGAATTATTACTATTCTGGTTAATGGGTCTCAGATAAGAAAGCACAGCTCATTATCAGAAGCAGATGGTGTCTGTTGGCATTAGTACTTTGGCATTGGAAGATGATGTTTGCTTTGGCTGGTCAAGAAAACTGACAAACATTGTACATGTTTATCTGATCTAATGTGCTAATAGTATGAAGTATAATAATTCTATAGGCATATAGGTCTAAGTGTTCAGTTTAGAGTCAGGAGATTCATGATTGTCCTGGGTTCAGCCGTATCAGAGAAAGAAGGGAGGGAGAGTGAGTGAACGAGCTGCCTGACTGGGTTTAAACCATGACAAAGATGTAGAATCTTAAACGGAAAAAAAAAGAAAACCAACCCCTTCCTACTTCCACTAAAGTCTATTGATGTTGGCTGTAATTGGAATGTCAAAAGAGTTTTGATGTTGGTAGCAAACTCTACAGCATAGATCTGAATGGTCATCTAGTCCTGGGGTTTTAGATGCTGAATTGGAAAAGGAGAATGCTGCCTTATACAGACTAAGCATTCATACCATTGACTTAGTAAATGACTATAGCTCTCTGTTTATTTCACGGTGCACTAATTCAAAGTTTATTTCTTTTGGTGATCCACATGATTGATAGAAGTAAATGGAGAACAAATGCACATAACTTTATGACAACGATTTCATAATGACCCATACTAGGAAAAAGGCAACTGGTAGCACATAAACTCATTCACTCTTGTTCTGGTGGCCAAGAGCTCACATTCCAGCAGAAACATTCTAATCAGCTAATAAGCAATCTGGTTTGCAAAATGACTTCTAATTTCAGAAAATGCTCTGGCATCTTCCAAGCACTCTAGCTTTCCCTGTTGCAGCCCTAGTTCTAGCTTTCTCTGTACATATTTACATATTAGTGACTCAATTCCCTGCTTATTTTGAAGAAACAGATCTAAAAAGAGCAAATGAAAGCCTTTGAAAGATGTGTTCCTTATGAGACCAAATTCACTCCTCATTACACAGACTATGCTTCCCATATTGCAGTTAAGACATCATAAAAATTAAAGGCATTTAAGTTTCATGCTGACCTGCTATACAGGAATGAACTTTACCCAAGATATATTCATCCTCTAATTCCCATTTAACATAGAGAAGAGAGTTAACACAGCTGGAGCTTGGAGTTAACTCATGCATGCTCCATTTCTTTCAGATTTCATTCAATTACCCTTTCATCAGAAATATTACATTAATCTTTGCATAATTAAAAGTCATCATGGACTTCAGTGAAACCTCAGTAATGTTAAAGAGGCAATGTGAAAATGGTAGAAAAGATCAGAACCAAGTTCCTGTTTAGGCAGCTCATCAACATCCAGGTATTCCTTTCCTGGATTTACTATCTGTAAAAGGATATTAATTAGATACACAGTTATTAGTCTAGCCTTTACATAGAACTTGAAATGTCATAAATGGGTTTCATGTGCATCCCTGGTTCATTTGTCATGGATAGTTTCTGACACCAAAAAGTGTCGTAATATTTGTACCATATGCCTACAAATTATATTATTTTGCACTTTTGTGTAAAATAACCATTTAATAGCTATGCTCTTCTGTGACTTTGTCTATGCTCCAAAGCACTGCCTAGGCTTTGCTGCAAGTGCCAATATCGAGTGCTCATTGAGTTTTGACTGCCCTGGTACTGTTTCAAAAAAATGAAGGAATCTTTTCACCCCAAATCTCACTGAGTTTGAAAGACAAACACCCACCTCCAGACAGATAACAGGTGTCCTTATTCACACAGTTAAGAAATTTGATTCCAAACAGTAGGCATCCTTGTGACTGCTTTAATTAGTGATCTCACTGAACAGTAACACCTTGTGGAAAACTTTATAAGGAAGAGAGAAGCAAAGGAGTTTATCCTGAAAATTTGCAGCTTATACCACCATAATACGTTTTGTTTCCTATTTATGTGAGGAAATGTTTTCAAATTTCTTAATATGAAAAACACAGGATGTGTTAGTGCTGTGCTTGCAAAATGAGTGCCTCATAATTCTACTCAAGGGTGAAGTAATTTTCAGAGTATCAGTCTGACACCAGCAGGTGATGTCTCCAAGAGTCTTTCTCACAGTTAGAACTCATTTATTATAAGACTGTACTCACAGATCTGAAACTCTGCTGGTTTATGCCAGAGTGCTCTTATACTTCTAACTTCTCACTGTTGAAACCTCGTTTCTGCTTCATATCTTCCTTGCCATGTACCCACTTATACTGACTATGTAATGGGCTGTTCTTATGAAGTGAAAAATGTATGTATGGGCGTATAAGAAACACCATCTGAGAGAAAAGTTCCTCTTCTAATACAACTCCTGCTCACTAGGACCACGAGATATCTTGCTGGGGCTGGGGTTTGTAGGAGGTTCTAAGGCAAAGCAGCTAAAATGTCCTAATTATTACATTTTTTAATAAATATGAATTTTAGCTGGACATTTTGCCAAAGCAATGTCATCTTCCTTTGACCAATAGGAAGTAAAACACTTCCTTTCCAGTTCTTCCAAAGCAAAACAGTTACAGAGGTGCCTGCCTGCAGTTTGGAAGTATATTTCCTCATGCCCTAATCTAATAAATTTAGCTGAACAGTTGAAAATATTCAGTTAGTGAAATGAATAAGTACTATTTTGAAGTAGCATTGAACAAGTCTTGCCATTTTTCATATTTATGATGAAAATGAAATGCATCAAGCATAAAAACTACACAGCCTTTAAAGCAAAGTATAACAGCTTAAGCAGTCAGATCTCATCTTTGACAGCACTACAGCTTAGTTTATTATCAGTTTTTAATAAGTGGAAGATGAACATAAATAGTCCAGACACATTCAGATCCACAGGTATATACTAATTCCAGTTTGAAATACTAAAATAATAATCTTATTAAGTAAATAAGAACAAAAATGAGAGGAAAGTATTATGCTTAGAAGCCCTGGAAAAGGAAAAATCAAATTAGAAAATTGCCAGGTTTGGATATGTTGGAATTAACCTGACTATTTCAAAATTTGTCAAGAGGGACTCATAACCATGACACCTTACATAAGCACTAGCCAATGACATCTGCAACTGAAGTGCAAGGGCAAAGTAAGACTTAAAGACCTAGTCTGAGCTACTCCAAACATCAACGGCCTTTTAAAGGACATTGTAAGTACCAGGTGTCTACTAGAGAAGCAAAAGCAACATCACCTAACCTTTAGACGCAACAGATCGCCCCCATTCATTTTTAATTTCACATCTGAAGCTGAATAGCAAGCTGACCACATGCAGAGCACATTTTGAGGTGTTTGTATGTTATAGAACAGGGAAATATCCAAGGACAGAGACAGTTAAAAGAAACAAAAATCCCATGGTGTATAGTGGTCATTAATGACAGAAAAAATACAAAAAATATTTGAACTGGCCATTTATTCAGTTCTAGTTTTTAGTCAGAGTCCATTACAGAACAATTTAGATGATAACTATCTGAAGTTATATATTTATATGACTTTAAGAGGCTGTTCAGAAAAGAAATACAAAATATTATATACCAACAGTTACTGTGAAGAAAAAGCATAAAATGTTCATTTGAATTCACAACACTGAATGGTCTATCAAACCAATTTCATTAAATGCTCATTTCATGTCTACAGAATGACCATCAGGAACAGTATTAGAGCTCTTAAGGAGGGAGCTATATTTGCTAGTAACATTTTTCTCTATTGCATCCTGAATGCATCTTTTAAAGTATTGTATTTTTTCACATCTATACTTCTGGAACATGTTTGGATGGTTTAAAATGTGTGTAAAATGCCATTTCCCACCTAATTGACTCCATAAAATGTAATGTCATTAAGTACCTTTTAAATATGCTGATGTACGATTTGAGGGTATTTCTATTTGTCAAGTCTACATGACTAGGTATATAAACATTCTGTCTCCAATTACATCCATACATATGGACTTCTGTGGCATTTCAAGCACCATTAACTTTAGCTGGGCTCCCAAAGACAACTGCACAACAAGCTGCGGGATTGAGTACACCTGCATAGAAATTAGAAGCCCGGACACAGAGGTCTGTGTTAAAAGCAAGTTCCAGACAAAGACTGTCTCAGTTTGAATGCAGTCCCTTAACCCCCTTACTACAGGGGTAATCTCCTTTCCTTACTACAGTCTAATCAACCAAGATCTTTAAGGAGACAAATAACAGTAGCATTTTTTTCATACATGCAACTGAGAAACCATCTGGATTCACTGATAATTGAGCAGTAACAATAATAATGTTAATACGGACAAAAGGATCTGTAACATAAATATTAATATTTATTGAAGTAATAGTGATTATTGCTGCTGTTATTGGTTTTAGGAAGTGAGATCTATATCACTGAAATTCACTAAATGTCAGGTCTTTCTTGGACAGCATCATTTAAGTGCTGCTTTAAGGATTAACATTATATGCGCACTAATGCAAGAACGCAACTTAAAAATAGAGTAGTGCAACCCACACCACTACCCCCAAAACCCTTTCACAGCAAAACTCTTCCTCATCTTGGTAGTTTTTGAAATTATAGCTAATCTAGGGATATTTTACTCCTCAGAAATGCTAAAATTTATCTTGCAAACTTTCCTACTCTTGAAAATTAAACTTCTCTGAAAAGCAGAAAAATTGCAGCTTCCTCCTTGGAGCTAAAAGGGACAAGGATGAATTTTTTTCTCTTTTTCTTGGGAAAACCAAAATTCCTTCTGCAAAAACTAAACAGTAGTTCAGCCCTGAAAAAATACCACCACCTACTCAATTGTCTAAAATTAATGCAAGTAACTCACCATAAAGGCTGAAAACTGAATGTGCAGGTAACAAACCTGCCATTGTAATGGAAAGAGCAATGACCTTAAAGGTCTTTTCCATCTGAAACCTTCTATGATTTGCCTTAGTCTTATGCCATTCAAGAATGCATTGCTTCAGTCTTCAGACATTCAATGTCCCTGCACGAATAACACAGGTTATATAGGAGATACATGTGCTTCTGTGGCTTTGAAAACTGAACTAGGTGAAAGGTAACACTGCAGTTTTAACTCTGTCAATGTTCAGGTACATTCAAATCCAACAGTTTAATAGGATTTTAATTTTTGTATTGGTTTATTAACAAATACTTCATTTTCAAGGAAAAAAACCCAGTACCTTTTTGTCATTGACCCTGCAGCTGCATTCCTCAAATCAGAGAAACATTCTGGTGGGGGACAGCAGGCATAAATCAGGGAAAGTTAGTGGAAATTAACAAGAAGTTAAATTAAAGGGTATCTCTAAGGCTTCTTCTCTGCAATCACAGTACAGACATCTGTGTGAGTCTCTGCTTTTCAACACACCTGAGGCCTTTCACCATCAGTTTAACAAATTAATTTCAGTGTAGAGACCTCCAGCTTATTTAATTTCTTTACAGCAGTATTTCCCCCAGTCTTTTACGTTACTTTTTGCTCATAATAATGGAATTCTTTACTTATTTAAGCTCAAAGTCAACTTACAAGTTTGCAGTCCATTGGCCAGCTTCACTAAGGGTAGTTTCTTATCAGTGGTTGACAGTCGCCTAAGATATAATTTTTTTTTTTCATCATGAAATGTTTAAAGCCCTGTCTTTTTCTAACAAGGAAATTAAACTAAGTAATTTAAGACTTAATATTCCTTCCAATATTTGTTAGCATCAACTACTATAACTTTGGAAAGGCCTCTACCTGTCCACTATACATCCTTCCAGCTTGACTTCAGCAATCCCCAGTGGTAATAAGTTAGGCTAAGTATGAAATATGCAAAGATGTACCTTTTTTTTCAATCAATCAGCCCTCTATTTGCCGTCTTTTAATTCTACCAAACACCTTACTGTTTTGTTGTGGAAAACTAGCAATCTGCCCATATACTTTGGTATCTTCTGCTTTCCATTTCTGGCTGTCAGGTACTAAATTTTTCTTGTTCCAAGTGTATTCACCTTTCCAAGGGCTCCTGGGCAACTCTGCAATCTGTATCCCATTATCCCTCAATATACCGAACGCAGTAGGGTAGCTACAGAATAGGAGAAACTGCTGTTTTCTGCATGCATTACAGTTTTAGTCAGCCTTTTCTGTTCTATGCCCAGATACTTCAGAAATCTACCACGTATGACTTCTTTCATGATTTACAAAGGAGCCACATATTCTAAGTATAGATAATAATTGAACCATTTAAATGATAATACCAAGATGTTTTGTATGGGGAGGAGATTCATGCAGGGCATTTTTACCATGAACAGCTCATTCATAGGGCTATGTATCCTCACACCAGATGTCAAATATGAAAAGAAATACTTTGGCGTGAATAACAAAGTTCATTTGACTGAAGGATTTACCTCCTAGGAGCAAGAGCCTCATAAAACATAAACACTGGGAGCAAAGTGAGCCATGTAAGGGCTTTTGCAAAAATTAAACCCATAACTTGCCACTAGAAATGGGATGTTTCATCTGTTCAATAAGCACTAAAGTTCTCTTTGTTTTTATGGCATCGTAATCTTTGATTACTCTGATAAATATTTGGACTATACAAAACAGTGCAATGGAACTAATCACAGTTATAAAAAAAACCTGTGTGTGAAAATGAATTAGGAATGCAATGAAACCAGCATATTTTAGAGAAGTTCAAATACAGAAACACATTATTTTAACTGGCTCCTGACCTCATTCTTTTATGTCTCCATATAGTCATTTACACCTGAGGAAAATGGTTATGAAAGTTGTTATGCTTGCTGGTTTTACATAAGCATAATCAGATCACTGTACCAGACATGGAATACCAGTCTCGCTGTGTGTCACTGGGTGAAGCCAAAACAAACAGCTGACTAGCAGTAAATTTTAACACAAAACCATGGTCCTGTGTTGAGGATGAGGTCTCTCTCTCTCTGTTGAAGTCTGTCTGTGGAATCCACGCTCTCACTCACAACTGTGTATAAAACAGCCTCTACCCTAACAGGGAGATCTCTCTTTTCACTTCCTCTCATCTCACCCACTATTTCCCTTTGCTTTGGCTTTATTGCTCAGGCCACAGACAAGAACATCATATCGCTGGTAGATTGTGTGTGTAATTGTACTCCACTCTTTATTTAAAATTACAACTCTCCCCATACTTATTACAGTTCTCTGAATGAAAGGTTGAAGAAAGGCTCTAGGTATGTGTGTATTGCTTCATAGTGAAAAGACTGTTCAGTGTTATTCATTCTTTTATAGTAGGAGAGGAAATCCCGGTCATTCAGAGCAGCATGCACCATTCAGATGCCAGGGGCCTATATTCTGCCTACAGCTGTGCTGGAGAAGATATGTAGTCAAGAAAAGCAACTCATGAAGAGCTTTCCAATACCTAAACCTTCTTTTCATGATTTCATTTTAGGAAATTATGAAATTATTTGTGAAAATGATCAGACTTCTTTGGGGGTTAGATAAAAGCAACTTGGCTGCTTTCAGAACCACAAAGATTTTTCTCTACCTCATTGTATTCTGACCAGATGCATTAATGTAAATAAAGTTCAAGTGCAAATCATGTCAGATATAATAGTAATTCCAGTGACTAAAGTCATGCCTAGTATAGCACCAGCAACATTTATGGAGTGGTAACAAGAGTACATGTGGATCAATGAGCTGCGAATCTATATCACTGATGTGATTGATTGATAGTGTCATGTACTGTTGAGTATTTTTAACATACTGCTTCTAACAGCTGAAGTCTGAATTTGGTTCCAGCAGTCAAAACCCAGAATAACTGAACCAAAGCCAATGGAGATACTTCAGATGTCACTGAGTGGAACAAACGTTGTGAATTTGCACTTAGCATTTATATAGTCCTTCTCATCTTCAAAGAGCATCCACAAACATTAGATAATTCTAATTCTTTCATAATGACCTTCCTGCTAACTGTTTGGGATAAAAGTAAGAAACTGTAAGAAAAAAAACCTGGCAAGATGTGTAATCAAACGCAAACTGAGCCTCAGATGTGTAAACTCTCTCTGCCTCATGATAGATTTTATCTCAGCAAGAATAGAAGAACTTTCACCAAGGCTCATGTATTAATTCACCATACAATGTATTTTACTAACATAAGACGACGGTAATAATCCTTGAACAACAGATTTACTATCACAGTTATAGGACACAGCTATTCTGTTTTAGCAGATAAGGAACTCAAAAAAATATTTCATTAAAAAATTTGCTGGGAGCTGTCACAGGACAAGCCAGAGAAAGTCTAGGTCAGATACTCTGCAGTCCTTCTGGGATCTTTTTACTCCTTCCAATTCAATTAAGGAATTTCGTGACCCTTTTTTAGAAAGCTTTCTTGGAAGCAGCAGAAGTTCCCTTTACCTATCAGGTCTCTCTGCCTTCCAACCCACACCTGCAATTTGATTATGAATTCTGGGTGGCTCTAAGCTCAGAATCTCAAATAAGTTCCTCATGTTCCAGTTGCTTGCACACTTTGTACAGAGGAATAGATTGAAGAAGACAGTACTCATTTTCATGGTGACCCAGAACAGCTATTGTTACAAGAACACCTTTAATCTCCTGTTTCTGTTTTCAAACTAAATTCAAGTAGGGAGAGATGAAAGGAAGTGTCTCACTAATCTGCTAGTACAGCTGGTACTTCTTGGTTTATCATATGCTAGCTCTAATTCTCTTTGAGTCTTAAAATTACTGCTTCTATTTCTTAATTTGACAACTAGGCATTCGTTGTTATTTTTGATGATGAAAAACCCTTCCCTCCCTCTTTCTTATAGCTACTTCCTCAGAAAAAAAAAAAAAATTTACTGAATTATGATATCAGTGTATGAATTTAACCTCTCCCTCAGTTCCTGCACAGTGTGTAAATGAGACATTAAATAATACTTCATTACTTACAGTTCAGAAAAAGACTTACAAAGCAAGCTAAAGAGCGAAAGGAAGATAAGGGTCATGCTGATATGAAGGGCATCGGTTGCACTGCAATCCATTTTGGATTTCCTGCAGGCACACACTTGCAGTTTCAATTCTGTGTTGTTAGTCAGAGGAGGATTCCCAGAATCTGTCACCGAGATTGGGATGTTGTAATTGGCCTTTTGCAGATTTTGAAGAAGGATGATCTGGGCATGAGTATCTACAAAGGATAAGGTGAAAATTAGCCAAATAGCAGTTGTCTGGAAGGAAAGAAGAATTTGCAAACAGATGTGATACAGTTACTCCTGCAAATTAAGACGAAAATGACCACAGCCTAAGGAAAAGATTAAAGAATTTAACTGAAGGTAAGAAGAGGCAGTACAGAAATCCTTTCCTGGGCTGAGAGCTAATTGCAAACTTATTCCAAACCCCACAGAAAGAAATATTTTTAAGAGCTTCTTTTTCTTTAAATACAGTATTTAAATGTCTGCAAATTATTGGCAGAATTTACCTGTGGAAACTAACACACTAATCAAGTGCTAAGGCATGTCATTCCCAGGGCAACACAAGAGGGAAGAATATATGTATTTATTAATGGAAAAAACCCTTATTGCATGGAAGTACAGGCATAGCTGTTTAAATGCTTCCCCAGTTTGCCTGAGAAGGCAGCAAAGAGAAAATGCACCTTCGAATGCATGGATCTGCTCTGCCTGAGCAACAGTGGGTCATAACAGCTGCTGGCACCCAAATGAGCGTGCTGGTTCTTTTAGCAGTGTTAACAAAGAGGTGGTTTGATGTTTGGAGATCAGCAAAGAAAATGACTCCTCCACTTTTTCCCGAAGCCAGGTACAGACATCCTGGCTACATCCTGACTACATCCTGGCTACAGCTACCTTTATTTTTTCTAAGAAGAATATGAAACAAAACACTAAAAAATCAATAATGACAGGGATAGATGCTACATGCTAGGAAACAAACAGAAATAATATACATTAAAACGAAATCACAGAATGTACTACTTTGTGTTTGCAATTTGGTGTATGAACCCTCTGCAAGTGCATAGCATGTACTTTGATCTTCTTACCAGCAGCCTATGGTCCCAGTGCATTGGAGTATTTTGTTTGTGAAGAGTTCAAACACTTAAAATCAGGAAGTTTTTCAACTTATAACCAATTGTAACATTGTATATTGTAACAATAATCTGCTAAAGCCCATGCAAAACTTTCATGCTCTCCTAATGCAAAGCATTGCGCATGTCATGCAAACAAATGCCATGCCATGAAATATGGTCATCCTTACAAAACTACAAGTCATCAGCAGACTTTCTTTAGTGCAAAACTGAAAGAGGAAAGTTTGTTCAACATGACAAGAGGAGGAAAAAAAGTCTGGTTTTAGAGAAAATGCAGACAGACTATTAGTATGTCCCACGAGGCAGCCAGTCCGAGCAACAGCACCAGCAACAGGTCCATCCTACAAGACTTTTGCACACAGCTGCTCGTAAATTCACAAAACGGGCAGCCTCAGGGTAAGTGTCTGGGATGTAGGGGTAGGGGTACAAAATGTGTAATTAAAAGAAGTAATAGACTTACCGTTAAGCGTGGCGAGTCTCCACATTTTTTCTGGGCCAGTTTGCTTACTCAGTTCAAACGTGAATGGATCTGTGTTGGGAGGAAGGTCTTTGTCTGTTGCTCCGAGTACCACTATCCTGAGATCTTTCCCATCATCACAAACTTTTGCCAGTGTTGGGTAAAGGGATGGGACATTGTCATTGACATCCCCCAAGGTAATGTATAAAGTTCCTGTACCTGTAGCGGGAGGGTGACCTATATGAAAAAACAAACATATGTTTATTAAATCATACTTCCATAAACAACTACTCTTATTTGTACCTGTATGCTTGTGAAGGGAGGTAATTTTTATAGTTCTTACCTTTGTTATGTCAAAATTATTGCTTAAAAAATTGATGAGTAGCTATTGTAAATTTATTGGTTTATTTTCAGAATGCAGCCTGTCTGATTCTCTACAGTATGGATAATTATTTTAAGGAAACCTCTGGGAGAGGAATATTTTGAAGTTAAAATGAGTTTAGGACATGAATAGTTATCTGGAAAAGAATCTGTTCATAAATACATACTGAGAGAAACATAGGAAGAAACATGCCTAGAAGGAAGGCATAGTATTAAAAGAATCAAGAACAAGACAAGTAAGAGGAAAAATGCTCTGGAAAATGGTATCTTTTATTTACCCAGAGTCACCCTGTGTTAGCAATGGAGTTTCAGTCCTTCTCAAATGATTTGCCAGCCTCAGCCCTGACCTGAAAGAACCCGTTTCAGAAGTAAGGATGTTGTCTACTCACCATGGTACCACTACAAGCCTTTACACCAAGACTGTGACTGACAAAGCAGCCATAGCACTGGAAGCTTTTGTAACGAGACATCTGTCCACTGGGAGCAGGACTGAAACTAGCACCTCATTTCACAGAGGTCAGAGAGGAGCTGACAAGTGGTAATAAGTTTCAGCTGCTACAGATGTTTGCATGGTTGAGCCAGTAACTTACTGCTTTCAGTCTAAAAGCTCGGTATCTTTTATCCTTTTGCCATTCCATTTTAACTGATGTCAGAGTTTTCTAAATGCACATTACTTTCTTCATTGTATAAACACTTAATTCCTCATTTGAAATGCTGCACTTCTGGGTTGTTTTTATTACTCATTTTTCTGATTTAGATATAAGATCTATGATCTCTGCACATCCCTTAGCTATAAACCCTTAGCAGGTAGAAAGGATCCAAGATGTTGCACTTAACCTGTAAAGCGCTAGTGCAATGTTTCATGGTAGTTTTAAGTTTAGTAATGAAAGAGGTGCATTTTAGCATAATTACCCTGCCTATAGTAGCCCAATAAACTCTGGAATTATTGCTTCACTGTGAGTGCATCCTAAGAGAGAAGTAAGTACCCTGTGGTCTGGATTTGATAAACTACTAACTGCATCAGAATGCAATTAGTCTTTCCAATAACAAACGTTACTAATGGTGACACTTCATCTGTTTCATGCACACATAAATGCATAACAAAGACAGAATTTTCATAGTTCTTTAGCTCTCCCCCTCCCCTCATCTCACACTTTGTCATCAGAAGGGCTAGGGTTGAGTTATTTTTAATGAAAAAGAAACTATTTTTCACTTTTTATTGGACTAATTGAATTTGCAGAAAGACTCCAATACATTTTTTGTTCTTGATATATTATTAAGTAAAGTCATACGGCAGAATGGATGAAAAGACATTCGAGTGTTTGAAATATGATCATAAAAGCCAGCCTTTCATGCACTTAATTAAACTGCTGTCTTTAATTTTGAATGCATTATTTTCACACTGGACTGATAATGTCTTCTGCACTGCCCTTCTTATCTTTCTCTGAAGTCAGTAATATTAAAATCTGCCTTTTGAAATTAAGAAGCCAACAGCATTATGAATGTACCGCTATTTTGTCAAACACAGATATGGCTGCATTTTCTCTGCTGTGCAAATGTTTCACCTTCTTTGTATAGCTTATCGGCCAGCCAAATACTATGCACAAATAGAGAGAAAGGAAATTGCTTCTGTCCACTTCAATGACTTATTCTCTGGTTGGTTTTTATTTATAATGATTTAAAAAATCTTCTGGTGATTTATGAAGACCTTCAAAAAGAAAAATAAGCAAATGTGAAGGTCATAAACTGAAGCTTGTTAATACACATGTCATAAAAAAATACAACAAAAAATAAGTCAAGGAAAAATGGTCACAACAGATCCACTGGGAATATTTGACTTTCATAAATTTGACAGTATTATGCCTTTGAAATAATTAAAAAGTCGCAGACAGCTTTGGCTTTGAAATGAAAGATTTTAATTCCGAAATAAAACTTCTCTTAATTTGTATTGTAAAACCTTGAAAGCAGAATTAATGTTCAAACTAAGACATAAAGGACTCTGTCCAACAACCCTTGGGAGCAGGTTTTCAAAAGAGTTCTTCTCTGTTGGCCAGTTCTCCCAAGGCTGAATGCTTTAAACCTTTCAGTGCCTTTAGGGCCATTTGGGACACAGATAATTTCAAACTTCTGCTAAGGCTCCCACAAGCTGCGCAGCCATGAATACTCTAGGACAAATATACGAATGCAACAGCATTACTCAAGTGTGTAAAAGCTACTAAAACAGAGACTACTAATTTCACACTTAAAGTGAAACCTTGGTATTGAATCCTGAGTTTAATAATGTAGGGTAAGACTGAGAACCTTTACAAGTAATCTTCAATGAGACTGAAATGCAAGTAAGGTCTTCAAAGTTAGTTAAGGTCTGCAGGATTGGAACTTCGATCAGCAAAGTTTTTTGATCACTAAAATAGCACATATTCTTAGAACATGCTGTAGTTAGAAATGCATGATATACTTATCTGGATTGGATCAGGGCTGGTGATTTCTTCATATCCTGGCTTTAGACTGCGTACAAAGCTTCTAATAGTAGTCTGCAGTTAGGCAATAGCCACTGCTGTTGTAAGATGAAACTAGTGAAAAACAGACTATCAGAAGTAGTTCTACCTTACGAGTTAGAAAGTGCCATAGAATGTGATGAGGTCTATTGTTTGGGGACTAGAATCTGTAACGCAAGGGAGTGTTACCAGAAGGTTTTAGTGCTATCAACATAAATGACCATGTTGCTACCTTTAGATAAGAAAAAAAATAGTTTCAAAAGAAATATTATAGATACAGTTTCTTTGTGTACTTCTGAATTTCAATGAAAAGACATTCAAAATCATATCAGAATTATCAGTGTAAGGCATTAAATTATAAGCCCTTTGTAGAAACACACAGCCAAGAAATTTGAAAACTGGCATTCAACTGAGGTCCAAACGGTTCCTGTAGGAACAACAATGACATTTAGACATCAGACTACTCAAAGGAGACTGCCAATCAGGTACTTAGTTTCTTAAAAGATACCAATTATGCACAATGATGGTCATGAACCAAAATGACATTTCTCTTAAGTGTCAAAACTTGAATAAAATGGCATGTCTAACAAGCTATCACATGGTTGAATGGCTGACGATGCATTTAATCTGAGCATAACATTTTTATAGACATGAAAAGCCATTTCATGTTCCTCTTTCTAGTTTTCCTACAGAAATGCGATGCTGTTATATACAGATTTCTAACATGGCTGAGCTGTGCTCTGTGGAATTAAAGACAGTAATTGGACTGCTTTGAATCTGAATTAAGACATTCTTAATCAGTTCACATTGAAATGCCAACAGCTTTCATTTATTTGAAATGACAGCAAAAATACAGAGTTAGGAATTGAGGTTTTCTGGTATGACTCACACAATAAGTCAAACACCCCTAAAAACTCAGTGAAGGCTGGGAACCTAATTTTTTTAGGCATATCCGAAGAAAAACTTATTGTGTGACTGGGGGTTGCCTATACAGCATCTTATTTCTTAGCACAGTGTATGCTCCTGCATTTCTTTCTTGCCTTCTTACTACTAGCATCAAAAATGACTGACTGAGGGATCTGCACTGCAGGAGTAAGTCTGCAGTAATGTCTCAATGTCTTGCTATGTCTTGGTCAGGCATATCTACAGCAGCTTTAAAACAGTCAATGCAGATGCTAATAAATACATAGCATCAAATTATTAATGTCAAAGTTTTTTTCATATCATTCAACACAAAGCGTGACTTTAATGGATCATTTTAAGTTCCTACATGTTTGCATTTAATGCTGAGGAAGCCGTGAGGAATACAACACTGGCTACAGGTATCTGGGCCATGTCGACCTGCTATTTTCACATTCAGTAGTGTTTTTCTCTACTAACTGAGCTCTATAAACAACAGCAATAGGGGGAGAAACCATTTAGGCACTTCATTGTTGGAATCACAACAGTTATCACATTTAGACAAGCTAGTCTTTTCTAGAAGTGAGGCTGAGCAAGAGTGTAGGTAAAAGCAGCCATCCATCAACACTAAATTGTTAGTGTGCACTTAGAGAAGCTAGTCAGAAATGTTTCAAGATAGCATTGTTGTTTAAATGCATCTTGAAGAGAAAAAAAAAACCATAAAGGTTTAATCCTTTTGTTCCAGCTTTCCTTTTTTTGATTTGCAGCAAATCTCAAGGTTAGCCTAAATGACCCTTAATGAGCCTTAGATTTTTCCAAGCATTCAAAAACTTAAGGTGAGTTTAGATAGCTCTTGGAGAGAGGCATATTCCTTAAACTAGTGGAAAGTTTCTAAAGAACATTGTTGCTTTAAGTATAAAATCATATTTGGTCAACAGACCACCCTAAATCGAGGAATTAAACTGATGTTTGTCCATCCTACTTTGAGATTTCTGAGTTCTAAAATTTTTAAATCCCTCTTTAGAATAACTGAGGTGTATTTTTTTGTATTTTTTTCTTTTAGAATTGGTTATTTAAAATATTTTTTATTTTAAAATCTAAAGGATATGACAAACTAAACAAAATGGATACAACAATAATATTCATTGGGCAAATGAAATTTCATTTAATTCAAGAAAACTAATGGGAAAATCCTCAGAAATATTTTCCTTTCTTGTTTGATTTTTGGTTTGATTTTTTTTTTTTGTTAGTTTGACACCAAACTTGACTTGATCTAAAATAAAATAAGTTGTACAAGGGAGAAAAAGAATTATCAAACAAAAAGAAGAACATCTCCATATGCTATGTGAAAATGAGCTTTAAATAAATCAGATGAAAATCACTTTATTTGTAAATCATATAATTTGTTTAGTGGCACAGCTAAGGAACAAAGTTTAATAATCAGCTAACAAGAAAAATGCC